TATGTAAAACAGAAGTATCAGAAATAAATCAACATTAAGCACCGTCAAAATTTATGTAGTTTGCAAGTTCTGAAGTCGCTTCCTTGTAAGTCGCTCTAAGTTGTAGTTTTATTATTCACTACACGTCATTAGATTTTGGAGTATTCGCATAAAATTTTTACTGATATTTGTCATAGGAAACGTCATTTATTATTTACTAATATAACAAAATAACAACTCTTCGTTATTTTAGCTGTTTTTACGAAAACAAGAAAACGAAATTTCTTTAAGTACTTTTCATCCTAGAACTGTGATTGCATCGAAAAATGGCGAAGAGAGGCTAAAAGGAAAAGAAAGCTTACAGGTATATCTAAAATGTTTGGTTTGATTTTACGCATGGCATGATGTGATGTTGATATTTGCCCTTTGATACACATCAGAAGAAACAATCGAATTTTCAACAGCATCAATTTTCCACAACCAATAATTATGAAAGTGAATGGAACCAAAATCACCATAACTTCCCCATGAAATGCTCTCTGTTATCTTTACACAATCAACTTTCCCTCTCGAAGAAAAATACCAAGAAAAGGACCAACCTTTTTCCTCCCAATTAAAAGCCTCAAGAAGAAAAGGACAATAAAATTCACTTATCTGAAATTCCTTTTCGGCATCTCTATAAATTTGTCAATGGATAGGAGCACCATCCATACTATATTTAAAATCCCATATCCCATATCCCACATAATTTGTAATTTGTATATTTTACTTTACTCTTAATAAAATTTGTGCACGTAAAAATATATATATAATTATATTTTTTGATCAATATCCAGTCACAAAAATAATTATAATCATATGGCCAACTCATCAAAACGAAGCTAATAGGCCATTTTTGTTTGTTAAATTTTTAGTTTAAGGAATGGGATTTTGAAATGTGATGGGATTATAATTTTATCACATATTCATTACGCGGAGATGAATGCTTGGATTATTTTTATGTCAGTGGAGAACGGATCTTCTATCAAGTCTCGAACAATGTCATTAAAAATGGGGAAAATAATGAAGCATCAATGATATAA